GATTGAGGCACGAGTCCCACTGGCTAATGCGGAAGATGTGTTCGCAGATGTTCCAGTTGCGAGCTTCTTGGATCTGGTGTATTGTGTTCCACGACAAGACTGGTGGTGAGCCCATTTCTAGAAGCTATATAATGATGAGGATCAGGGCTAATAGTATCCACAGGCAATTTAAATCCGCCAGAGCTCTCGGATTTGCGACATTGATCCAGTGGCAGAATGAAGAGCACAACACAGACATGCGACACCGTTACTATCCAGTCATCCTGACATGTCTTGTCGCATTTATGGTGAATTCGCTTCATGCATGGCCAGAAGAGCAATCAGGACACAAGATGTTGATGCATGCCATCTGGCTGCAAACGTACTGGCAGGAAGATCATCACATGATCCTTCCATGCATGCGAAAGAGAGATGGGATGGATGAGCCAGGACCATATGCAGAGGGAGGACTCTGGTGGATTCCGAGCAGTGTGATTGCATGGCCTACATGGAATGGAGGTGGTACAAGAATACCATGATGCGAGAGTGTCATCCAAGTGCCCAGTGAGGCAGGTTGGAATTTGTTGGGCATTAGAAAGATGCTGAATGAGTTCTGTTCTGAAGATAGTCGCATGAAGCAGTGACAATTGGTGGAATGGAAGCCAATGGGCCAGGTCATAGGGTGCACAAGAAAAGCCAAGGGTCAACCTGAGGAGCCAATGCCAAAGACAGAAAGGCTAGCTTGACGGATAGAAATGCCAGAAAAATCATATGACTACAGGCCCGATCTGCCACCACAGGACCGGATATACGATGAACAATATCCGGAGCATGCCGGGACATTTCTGAATCAAGTACTACAGCAATATGTGTCTGACATGCTGCAGAAGGTTGGATGGGTGAAATGTGGATGGGAACATTCTCCTCTGACACAGAATGAACGGCGGATGGTTGACATCCGTATCATGAAAGAAAATGATCTTGGAGGAGTGTTGACACATGCATGAATGTATGAAGGAACAGAGAGCCAGTGGGATTCACTGTTTGACAACATCTTCCAGACTCCGAATGAACTGAACATGAGGAAACGATGGTCTGCACAGAGTAACTGGGGAAAGATGAAATCAATAAAGATGTGGGAAGGATTTGTGCATGATATGTTTTCTTCATGACAAGTAGAAGATATGCGAAGGGCACTGAAGAGGGCATTTGATGAATTCCTGTGGTGTGTTTGGTCTGATAGCACATGGGTGTGTGTTTATGAGAAGTTGGGAGGGGAACTGATTAAACCGGAACCAGTTCGAAAAGAGGATCTACCACGTTCAGCAGTCCGCCTCATCTGGAATCCATGGATAGAGAACTGGAGATTTGATATTACGAGTGGCCACATGCCAGCATTGCGGAATGTTGAGGAATGGGAGGAGAGGGAGGATGAAGAGGAAATCATGTCGATAATTGAGAGAGAAGAAAGAGAGAAGCAAAAAGAGATGGATATGCAGGAAAGAGAAGATCACATTCTCCGAGAGCGCAGAGAAGAAGAGGAATCCTCGGAGGATGAAGCGGAGCCGGACATCAGAAGGCAAATAACAGATGAAAGGGAACCAATCACTATGGAAGGGAACAGAGGGATGCTACTGGGGGAGCCCATTGTGTCGCCCAGTCAGCATTGAAGTTGACAAAGGGAGAAGGGGAGCAAAAAAGATGTTGGAATACAATGTCAATGAAACAATTAGTCACATATTCTGACCATTTCAAAGTATATTGACAAAAGACATGATAGCAAATTGAACAAATTGTTACAGTGCTATTTTCACTCTGACAGATGAAAAGCAGCCTGCAAAGAAAATCGGTCATGTACTGCAGACTGCACGCACTCCATATGCAGATTCTAAAACACCAGAATGGACATATTTCGAGATTTGGTCATGTACCGCAGACTGTACATGCTACCTATGTGGAATCTAAATGGCAAGAATAGACATATTTCGAGAATTGGTCATGTACTGCAGACTGGATACGAGCCCTATGCAGTTTCTAAATGGCAAGAATGGGCATATTTCGAGATTCAGTCATGTACCGCAGACTGAATGCGAGCCCTACATAGATTCTAAATGGCAAGAATGGGCATATTTTGAGAATTGGTCATGTACCGCAGACTGTACATGCTACCTACACCATTTCTAAAACACAAAAATGTGCATATTTCGAGATTCAGTAATGTACCGCGGACTGTACACTCTACCTACATGGAATCTAAATGACAAGAATGTGTATATTTTGAGATTTGGTCATGTACCACGAAACAAATGCACTCCCTATGCCCATGTCATGTGCCAATGGCCATAGACTTGATGTACCGTGAAACAGACATGCCCCCTACCAAAGTGCACAGACCATGCACAAGACAGACCACTGTGAGTTCGCGGTACCAGCCAGTGCATGGTCCATCCACAGAGTGAGGCATTCATCGTATTTTGTGGTCCCACCACTGCTGTTCTGTGTACCGCCATTGGTTTAAACCCTAACTTAGGGTTACTTCTGAGGTTCTTCCAAGCAATTCATGTACCGCCTACCTATAAGAAAATAAGTTTAGCCTTATGATGGCTAGGTTTCTGTGTGCTCTTGTCCTATTCTCAGTTACATGCTTACTGGACTGAAATGCAGTCCATGTATTCGCAATTTTTGCAATTCTACATGCCTGAACATGGAGAGGGTGTGTCACTGTTATTTCCAGTCAAGCTTAAGGTGCACTCCCAATTAAATGAGCAAGGAAATCTGTCTGGCAGCTAGGATATGAGTAGAATATAATTAACTCTTACAATGAAAGCCATACAACTCCATGAGAGTCTCATCCAGACTCAAAGGAAATGCATGTGAATGGTATGGTAAGCCCTCCACCCCATGATGAGATGGACCTACCCCATCCTCCTAACAAATAAGTTTACATGAATTAGAAATATGAGCCCACTATCAGGAGAGATCTTCTCAGGCAACAAATATGTAGTTATCCATCATCGAGGATGCAAGAAAAATAGATTAATGTTGAAGCCCAATGTTCTGAATGGTAGTCGAACCCATCCACACAAATTAACCACTAGGATACAAGAGTGGGTTTCACCTTCATCACAGCTACAGAAAGGAATTCAGGATGGTAAATTAACCCAGACCAGTGAAGGACCGCCATGAAACGTTCATTATAGCGCACCTTCCTTAATCTCAATGTGAGCACCTCTGTATCTGCACCTGGTAATATTGAATTTCCTGCACATGAATGGAGCGACCAAGCCCTAGGACAAAGCAAGCGAATGAGCATGAGATACCTGTATCTTTGATGAGAGTGACACCCTGTCTATGTCTCCGAGTGGAAGGAATGGTATGATAACGTGTACTGAAGGATCAATAAGCCACAGCACCAATTTTAGCGGATTGCATACCGTGTCATTGTACTCCTCATCTACAATGCTCTCCTACTAACCAGTAATCCCTTTTGCGTCTAGCCTACCAAGGAATGATGTTATTTGCAGGGAATAAGGAGTAGGAGGACTAGTGAGAATATATATCGTTCAAAGGATTGAATGGCCATGGGGCAACTATATCCTCCCAAGACTGAAATAAGCAAAAGTGAAACCAGGGCAGCTGCTGTGCACTGTCTTTATTACCAGTGTATTATAGAAGGTAGCAATTAACCACGAAACGAATCATAGACGATGCTTAGCCCATGATCGTCCTCCTTGGAAGCAGATGTGGAAGAAGGAAGTATTTTCTAGACGATCATATTCGTTCTACCTCGTTACTATGGTGTAATGTGTACCCCTTGAGCTCGGTTCGCTTAGGATGGACTTTTCTCGCCCTCTTCTTAACTGAAATTACTTCTTGTATGCCCTTCGGGATGTAGACGAGGACCTGCGAGCACCAATTGCAGCATCACCGCTACATTGTACGTCTAGATATCACTTCTACGATGGTCTAGCGGTTGGTACAGGCGTAAGCTGGGTTCGATTCCTAAGAGAGTATGTTCTTTTAGGGCCTCATGGTTGTTTTGATTAATGAAAGAGTAGCAGTAAATCGACATTGTTGACATATGGCGGTTTTCAGTGGACCTATCACGATGGGTTCAACCCCCAGCGAGAGCTTGAAGAATATGTTCAGAATGATTCATTTTTGTATGCCTCAAGCATGAAATATATGTCGCTAAATCTCAAGTTTACGTGTCTCTCCTTTGGCATGGTTGTTAGTTTATCTACAGTGCAAAATTTGGGTTCGACTCCTATCAAGAGATTTACATGGCACCCCTTCAATTTTTATGCTGAGGAATGCCAAATGAATCTTAAGAACGGCTTTATTTACTTCAGCAATTGTCTAACGATGAGGAATCCCAGATGCTAAAGCATAACGCCCCTTTGTAGGGTGTGTTTTCTTTTCTGGGTACCATGAATGCATGGAGCCCTTGGTCATATATCTGCTAGTATACAATGCGGCCGCACTGGGCTCGAATCCGAGCAGGGGAATACGAGAACGAGCCATCTTCGAGACTTTTGAACCATAGGAGAGACGACTATTCCATGCGCAATGCGCGGATATGTACTAATTCCGCGGTGTTACGTTCAACATGCGAGAGAAGGCACGGGAGTCATTTCTTCGTGCTTGCACAGAAATACGAACTATCGAAAGGAACCTATGAGCTTATTATGGGCGCATTTAATAGCGTCCAAAAATTGGTGTAGACTCAAGTCGACGTTTTCCAAACACGAGTCAGTTTCATGATCATGATGCTGAGGTATAACCTTCATCCGGTGTATCAAGTGCCCTTAATTCTTTAATCGTACGTCTTAGACTGGACACATATTTCCGTTTATACGATCACTTTCTGTACGTCTAATGCACACTTTGTTCTGAGTATATGGTGTATACCCTGATATGTGGCTTCCGTGCAGGGCTCTTTTTTGATCTAATTTTTGACGACCAACGATTTTCTTTTAACCTCATGCTTCATTAAGTGAGAGTTTCAAGGGCCTGCTATTCTCATGCTTGAACGTTTCACTCGAGTTGGGGGATGCGTCGAATTCTCATCTCGAAATCCGGACATATTTGAATGAGATTCCTTGCGCTCTTGAAGATAAGGGATCAGAGATCAGATACAAAACGATCCCAATTATTTTGATATGATGGAAGATACATGGCGATTGATATATGCCGCACATAGATACAGATTACAGCTTATTGCATACAGCTCGACGGTCAGGGAAGTTTTATGGATGATGAAATAGGCCTCGAATTTCGTCATAAACCTGGTTTTGGGTGACTTCGAGCGAACAAGAGGGGATCCGAGAGGGTCGAAAGTCATAAATCAGCCCATAACCACCATAACGGGGTCTTGAAGTCCATAAATCATAGCTTATGATGAAGTCAAAATCGCTCTCTTCTCTCATGCAAAATATACGCCACAACCAAGCTCTATGAAAACAGCTGTAACAGTCCAGACATGGTTCACAACGCTTCGGACTCAGTCTCTTCAGGAAGAGTGAGCAGCTGGTCCAACGCCACTTGGAAAGACTCCACAAGGACGCGTACACCGCGCCACATGGTGATCAAATTCGTGAATTCAGGATACTGCTCCGGGATATCTATATTACCGATCAGTAAGGGAGCTCGATCCTAATATCAAAATAAGAAAACTCACTTTCAGTGCTTGCCACAGCATTGACAACAGCGTCGGTCGCGGCTCCAAGGCCAGCTCTGAGCCGCATCTGGACCTCTTCAATAGAACCCATATTGTCTTGAGACCCTCGAACTGTCGCACTGTCACTCGCATCCCTAGACAAACAAGTCGAAAGATCGTTGGGTGGTGGAAGAGTAGCATGTACATTATATCGTCATAGTCGGAATACGTTCCGCCGTCCATTCTATATCATAGTCAGCGCTCAAAGAAAAATAAGATTGATAACAATGCGCACAAGTCATAGTTGACATAGGTACGCCCACTACTCTGAGACAAGGGTAGATAATCCTCAGAGTCTGATCTGAAAACGATCCATTGCAATTCTCATATCGCGCAATGAGAAACCGGACGATACGTACCCGTTTCTTGGCTGAGAAAGTGGCTCGGGCGGTTGTGGCAATGACACTCCGCCGGTATTGGGCTGGGAGGAGTATCTACAAACGAAATTATGAGTAAAATTGGGGTTCACAATTGTATGGCGACACACAATGTAAATTGAGACAGCTGCGAGCTAGAGTATTCACTATTGCCTCATGATTAACTGTTCGTTATCAGCTGGGAATTGAAGTGTGACGAACGAAAGCTCTTGGTCGCCGTACTCAGCCTCCATTTGTCTAAAGACGATATCAGGACTTAGTCTACTTGTAGATGCGACGAAGAACACGCACTCTAATATGTCGGTCTCTGCTTCGGTAGGATGGGTCGGGACAGATTGACTGAGGGATTCTATGGGCAATTATGCTTCTACAGAGGTAATAATACGTACGAACCAGGGGATTTCTCATCGAGCATGGCGGAAGAAGAAGATTATGAAGGGGGTTCTTGAACGAGAGTTTTCAGTGACAACGTCGGTCTATTTATACGTTTTGACTACCTTTGTATTAGCTTTCGGAGTTGGAGCAATATAGATTCAGAGGCAAAGGAGAGAAATGCATAGACGCAGGCCAGGGATAGCAACAAAGGCCCTTTGTTTCCTGAGCACTGGGTGGCTGCCTCTTGAATGAATCAGAACGGTTTTGGTTCTGGATCGGTCCTGATTCTTTGTTCGTCTGGTATGACCATTGATGTCTAGTCCATTAATACGATGAAGGTACAAAGGGGAGAAAAAATGATCTGCATAAGAAAGGCTTCTGAAAGAAAGGGTCGTCGTCATCGAGAGCGAAAATGCGCGCCCTGAATGGCACCCATATTGGGAAGAACCTCCGATCCGTCCCGGTCAGGCATCATGTGGACACTATCATCCAACTACCAGAACTGTTCACGATGGCTTGCTTCTTGAATTCGATCCCATAGTCTTAACAGAATCGTACGACCGAAAATACTGTATGAAGGGGAGGTCACCCACTTAAAGCTCACTTCATACACGGGGCAGCGGCTTCTTACATTCAAAGGGAAACTGTGGTATGTTCGAAATTTCTCTTAGCATTCAAGACAGCTTTCAAATGGAAAAACCATTTCTTTCTCAGTTTTTTGCCTTTCATCTTGACATCGCGTACTGTTCTTAGGTATCGAGTTCGATTGTCTGGATGCCTCTATGTACCCACTCGTTTTTAGAGCACTGTAAGAAATATATTCTCTCTAATATCGCATTTGATGCCTGGACCGGTCCCTGAAGCGCTCTCAATTCAAATGCAAAGTCATAGCACTATGTCGCACGTCATGATATGATACGTTCGGCCACTCCTTTCTGAACCTCAGCGATAACACGTCAGATCATGTCCGACAATTCTACCTGTGGTCTGACCACTCAAGTGGTACTTCTTCGACGTCAACTGGAGCTTCATCGGTGGTATAGAAGGAAGCAACTGACAGAGTATCATTCATTTGAAAGTCTTCTCCGTGGACTTGATTTTTCTCACCCTCTATCCAAGCTTCTCAGCTGACATCGGTGTCTTTCCTTAGAAACTCGGAACCGAACATCCCGGTGCTTATAGATATCGCAAAACCTTGCTTTTTAAAGCTTAGATCCTTGGTCCGTTGACAATCTAATACATTCCAGGGCCAGGGTTAGACAACACGCAATAATCCTTGGATTATCGGTCACACCAGGTCGGCAAAAAGCAAAAAAACCTGATGTGACTTAAGATATGTGTGTATACACGAGACTTTGCGTTCAGGAGCCGACAGACTCAATCTATATATCGCTGTTCTTGCTTATGGTTTCGGAGCAAGTGGCCTCAGTCACGTACAATACTGGGTGATAGAAAAAAAAATTACTTACTGAATTGATGCCGTATTGTCCTGAATATATTATCACGTCAATTTTCAAGGCCTGGTAAATGATTACGGAACTCCACCCACTCGATCAATGCATGGAACATACGTTATTGTCCTGGGAAAGTGAGAAATGGATCAGTTGTCTCGGAGAAGGCGCTTTTTATACCCTAAAAGATCGATTTCCGGAATACGGAAAATTAATCGTTTAGTCTTGGGACAAAGAATATGTTGAAATCATCTGATTAGTCTTATGGTACTATCAGGATGATCAAAATCGAAAACAGTCTCATTGTGATATTCCAAATTTTAAATTGATAGAAGGCTATTTGGAGTTCATAATTGGTTTACTATCTTTGTGAAGCGGGGTAAGTTCTATTTACAAATGCGGAGACCGCATCTATACAACCGGCACCCCACAGACCAGGCCCTTCAAGGTTCTCAGAAAGCAGAAGCTCCCAGAAAGCTTTGAAACGAACGGCGGACTACGAACAAAAGAGCGGCGGTGCCATCTCGCACCGTAGGGAAATCGATTCGGAAGAAGATTTAACTGCATCAGATCAACTGCAAGAGGCGACCCCGAATGGACTCATTTCTCAATGTGTGCTCCATTTTCCCCACCATTTGAAAGGTTTTGCCGGTGATGGAAATCTGAACTCGGTGATATCCAGTCAGCCAGCAGCTGGAGGCAGAATAGGGGGGAAAAAACTGAGGAAAAGCGCCGCCCGAGATGTTTAGCGATTACCGCGTGCGAAGGTCGGCAAGTAAATAGATGCGACGCGAGTTGTACCTGATCAATACATGAATCAGATGGAGATTCGAGCCGAACTGGTGTACTTGTTGATATCTCATTGCACTTGCCTCTAGAAAAGGTGTTGCAAACTCAATGAAGTCCTTTAACGCCTGGCGCCTTCATAGAATTATTCACTTGGGGCCTGATGTGCCCTTCAAGCTGCCCTAAACGATTATTGCTCCTGTTCCAATCCAAGATTAGTAGTCCGGGTTGAGCCTTTGGTCAGACGCGGGTCCGAATCTATTCTTTTCCTGTCGATGACTTTCCTCGGACGCGCCAGAGAACCGTGGTGAGATGGCTACGCACACTCCGGGGTTCGTGACCCTGGCAACAAGAAGAACACCCGCCAGTGGAAGGAAGATCTGTAGATGGTGACTTCTAATGTTCCTACGGATGGAAACGTATTGTTTGATTCTAATGTCGGGATATCTCCTCGTGCATTCATTTTTGCTTGGCTATAAAGCCTCTGAGGATGTTTCTAAATCCCGGTTCCGAGTAGCAACCCACAAATCATCGTTGCAATCCTTTTACGAGGCCATGTCTAAAATAAACCTTCGTCTAACTCCAGCTGTCCCAGTCGGCTCATATTCTCGTAAATCACTATGCTGCGTGTACTTTCGATCAAAGTCAACAACTTGCCCCGGTGTTTCCGGTCCCAAATACGACCTTTCGAGCCTTTTATACCATCGGCAGGTGGTACGGTGAACCCTCCCACCAAAGAAAACTTCTGATTTCATCCACTTACAACGCGGATGTTCTTCTGGATGCCACGATCTTTACTTTTATTTATCCCCCTTCCGCTCAAAGGGTCTGGGCACTTCAAGATCACGACTAGCGACGACGATAATAACTCTTCTTTGATGCTGTATCCATCAACTTTATCCTATTTTACCTAGAACAGATAAATTTGCTTTATCACCTTACAGCATGTACGGACCTAAGTCACTATCGATTTCTGTGCAATGCAGACGAGAACAGCATATGAGTGTCATTTTCTA